ATTGTTGTAAATGATGTGCTGATTGTTTTAGGATGTACTCAGATGGGAGCGTTTTGTGATTCTGCCCATTGCTCTTAAAGCGCACATCGTTTTCGATGTTCAAGGCTGAAAACTCGAAAGAAAACGATATGGTCAGCATTCAACTGACGACACGATATTTCTACTGATCCTTATTCTCATAATTCCATTCATCACCTTCTCACTGAACTCTCACACCTTTTTATCAATTAATTAATTGAAGTGTCAGTTCGTTTTTTCACATGTCAACTAATTGATTAATTCAAATGCGAAAATGAATGTCAATCAAAAGGATATTTTTTCAAAAGTATACTTTTCTCTGCACTCGAATGCGACACTAATAATCTCTTTCGTTTTCTGAAAAGTCGTTCCCAATACTTCCAGCTGATATACTTACTCAGTGTTATTCACTCATATCGAAACATCGCCGCGTTCTGATATGAATATCTTTAGATTGAATTTGAGAAACTGATAGTTGTTTTTCCTTATATGGTATAAGCCGCAAGCAGTTTCTTCTCGAAAAATTTCGAACTGACTCAAATTATCATTCGAAAAGATGCTGAATTATTATTTTTCAATTGAGCAAGTCGCTTCATACTCCTTCAAATGCTAGTTTGGAAGAATTTGCGCTTAATTCAAATACATCAATTAATTAATTCAAATGTGAGATATCAAGTCGTATTATGAAGATTATCCGATCAGTGTTGTCTTCGGTCAGTTTTTTATGCTCCTAGGGGAATTCAACCTTCACAACTTGCTCAAGTCAGTGATCAAGCGTTTCCATCAGCTCTTATCACATTTTGACAATTGAGAAGGGCATTAATTCAGATGAATGTCAATCAAAGGACCATTTTTTCAAAGGCATAAGTGTGTTTTTCACAGTCATTCGTGTTTTGCATAAAAAGAATGGGCGAACGACGAGCTACTTCAGACGATGTACACTTCGCTTCATTTGAATCAAAATGTTGAGTATCGTTTTCGAGGGGAGCTCTTTCAAGGATAAAAACCAAAATGCGAATTCAGTCATACGCATGTGTGCAAATACACATGCTCAAATTGAATTCCTCTTTAGAACTGAAAAATAGTCTCCTTATTTCATTTATTGTGAAGCCGATTCATCACAACATTATCGTTTCGAAAAAGTCGGTTGTATTGATTGTGGCTGTTCACTTTTGCCCTCAAATGAACGGTGAAAGTCATCGTGCTTCATACCAGACTTAATGTTCAAAATTTTCATCTGCAATTCTACAAAGAACGCATTGATTTTTCCCCAACCAACCAGCCATATGCAGCAGCAACCAATAAACAATTTGCATGTCCACTCCTTGTGTTTACTGCTTCAGCATTTAACGCTAACATGTTCATTTGTTTGCATTTAGCAAATTAAGGTAATGGAACACAGCCTATGCCTAACTTTCAGTTAACTAATGACAAGCTATTGTAGGACACCACTAGACAGCGCCCACAGCCTAAGCGTAACTTCAGCTTGAAATATGACAAAAGCAGTTGGATATAGCGGTGTAACATACAACTTGTTTTGCTCAGTGTCCCGATCGAATTCAGCGCAACACCGAACTGTCTGTGTTTCGTACATAATAGCTGTTCCTTTCAGCAAAAAATGCTTGCCTCTCTCTCGACAGTAATATGTCGCACTGAAAAACGCATAGAATTGTAACGTAGAAATTCGAGCTTTCAATGGTGCTCCTAACAAGCTACAATGCAAACCTTGTCATGGATTGAATAACATTTTCATTTTCTACTCGAAAGAACAATCGAGAAAATGTTCCAAGTCGCATTTTCTCAACAAAATTTCATAACAGTTCGAAATTCTTACTGCAACATAAATTTTGATTGATTGCTGGTAACGGTCAGATCAATGTTTTTATGTGATTTTTCCAATTTTTCAGCGAAAGTCATGAGAATGTTAAATTTATTAAGATTCTTCACAAGAGACAATACTACATATTTCAGTTGAACGACCAGCTCAGTAATATCGACTTGTTTGCATCATCACGGTTTTTTGGCATTCCTTTCACCTTGTTTCAATCACGCGCAGCACTTCCGAACCATCGACATGCATCAAGATTCTTTTTTTATCTACAAAAATCTGCTTGCAATCGAAAGCAATGTGCCTCAGAATGCTTATGCGAGTTTTTCAACGACAACGATATGATGTTTACAGGCGGTGTTAGAATCCTCAAAATCTCTGCATTTCGACAGGTGTTCCTTTCTCCGGCTGTCTTCACCATCAACAAACCATTCTTTCAGCAGATTGATTTTGATTACTACTTGTCAAAGAATTAACTTTTATTAACCTCGTTATTTGATATTGACGTAAACCATCAACTTTCTATTTGCTACGAGCAAATTTTAAATACTATCACTGTTCTACGCCTATTCCTAACCATCGGCTATAAAGTGCGTTCTTCGAGGTTACCTTTCATCGAAATTCACTCTATCAGTGAGTGCCAATATAGCTTGGTGGATAGCTGTCATTTAGAGTATTGCCGAATTAATTCAATTACTTGTTATGTCGAAGGGTCTGTTGTTGCTGAAAGTATCACGCAATCGCCTCTCGATAATTCATTTCCGTTCTCGGTGTTTGGCACGCATCATTGACATGAAATTCGCTTTTATCTAATCAATTCATTGTTATTTTCATAATATTGGCATTATTCATTCACATCATCGGATGTATGCATATTTATGTCTACTGAATACGCAAATGTGCTGTTAGCCAAAACAAGCCAATGAATGTTTCGAGGCTTTCTTTTGACATACAGTTCTTCAGATCCATGCGAAAATCTCTGTTGTTCAGTTATTTGTTTCGTTAGATTGCTTGCAGCCATTTCTACTCTCTGTGCTAACGATAAATGAGCCCGCGTCAAAGATCATGGAATGTAGGAATAGTTTAAAACTGTACGTCGTTGTAACAAGTGAAAAATGCTTTATAATAAATGATGCATTTGAAATAAGCACTACTAATTAATAATTCTTTGATTTATTGCCTCATTTGAAAGACGTTCCATTTTTTTGCTATAAAAATGTGAAATAATGACATATTGATGTGACATGGTTTGACAAGGCTATATTGATGTGCACGAACGAAGAAATTTTTTTGGCATCCCATTTCTTTTCAGTTCTATGAGTGTAATGTTTCTTTATCATAATTTGGTCCTCTGAAAAGACATTTTTTGGATGTCTGACTGAGTAGCGAATCCCTTTGAGATATTCGAATAGAATTATTAGCTTTGACTTGAGATGATACGATTAATTGCATAAGATGCCTTTATGCTTGGTTACTTCATTTCTTGCTCATACTCAGTTTGGTGCTCGCGTTCGCATTACGCTCTAGAATTCATTAAGCTAATTAAGATGTGAGTGTTGTTTATGTGCATTGCAAACACTGCACATTCAAACAAAAACGTATGCTTAAATGAAATTTTCATTTGGCTAATGAACAGGATATTCTCCATGATCAGCAGGTTTGTGCTCATCTCTTCTACGTTTTCGTTGAACGAATCCATCGATAAATCTACTGACGAGTCAGTGAAGTCGGATATACATCTGCTGAGAAGAGTAACGATAGGTTGCTACACTTAAGATGGTCCCAAATTTCTCACCTGAATTCATTACATGTTCGGAATAATAATTCATTTTCGTACTGTGTGCCGATACTTGCATGAGCTTCTTCCTTTGTCCACAAATTAGATCAAATTTCAATCGATTTTCATTGCTTTCTTAATGCTTCGTGTTGCGTTTCACGCGTTTCTGAGATGCTTTGTTCGTTCAGTGATTAGTTTTTGGGCGCTTTCATTTTTTTGGACGCATCGACGATGTTCGTTCTCTTTATTATGCATGAAGTTAGAGTCGAAATCGAAATCAACCACCAAAACATCATTTGTGTTAGTCGGAAGACTCACTCGCTCATGGCTCAGTCTAATCAAGTGACGGCAGATTCGCTCAAGTGCTTTGTAGCATTTCAACGTAATTCGCAAAAATGCTATTGCCCCATTAAAACTTCTGTCGACAAATCAAATTTTACATTTTCTCCGAAGAAACTGTCGAACGATTCCATGCTTGCAAATTTTTTTTGTTTGTTATTGTATTTACAAGATGAAGTCGATAGAAAATTATTAATTCCAGTACAAAATCGACAAGGATTTATTTCAGCGCATAAATATCCAAATAAACTTGGATTTATTATTGCTCGTAGGCCATCAATTGTCTTCTCTGGAGCCAGTTATTTGCTTCTTGCATTATTTTTGACAATGTGCTTTGATTTATGCGTATCACAAACAGGTCCGACATATTTATTGTAGTGTTTTATTCTCCTTGCAGTCAGTTGCTCAATGCAATTGGCATCTTATTTTGCAATTATGCCCGCATAATTTTGTGTTCGTTTGCGCATTTCATTCTCGCTTTGTTGTGCTTTGTGTACTTGTTATTTGTTTACTCGTGCACGTTGCATAGAAATATGCATTTGTCGTCGTGCACTAGGTTTTTATTGATTTCCACTTCAAAATTAGCATCGAGGACATCGGTCAGCATAAAATTTTGAGTTGTATTGGGCATTTAGGGATGCAAATCGTAGCAATTCTTATGGCAGAATTGTGAAACAACAACTTTTTTTAATATGCATTATTTGTTTCGACGAGAGACATTCATTTGTTTGTAAACATTCTTGTGCAAAATTGCAATATATCAAGAACAGTTTGTGGTGCGATATGTGAGAAATTGCTTCGCATAATTTCGGTATGCGAGGTAAAATTCATTGCCTTAAGCTTCGCAGATGTGATTAATGATGCACCCACCATGTGAACATCAAAGCCCATTCAGCTCTAATAATGTTTTACGGCGATAAACGATCAAATTTCTTGTATAATCGTTTGAATTACCACCTTCGAACTATCAATTTCAGAATCATACGCAACGAAATGACTGAACAGATAGATCTGAGCTGGATAAAGGATCGAGATAAGATGACTGACGAATGGAATGAGGTGAGCATAACTTTGCTAATCCAGCAAACAATTCACGTGGATATGTTATCATTGAAGTCGATTATGGCAAAAATTATTCGACATTGAAATTATTCACATGTTGAAAAAGTGTGAAAACGTGTGAGGCTATAACGCGACTCGAAAGAAGTTCGAATCGAATAAAATACCGAGGAAACAATTGGCAGTGCAGATCTTTTTTTGCTTCTGAATTTATAAATAAGTTCATGCATTTACTATCGGTTGAATGCAACGTAGGAAATTCGTACTTATCTCGCACAAAAAAAGGCATTCATTTGAGAAAATATGATTGTATTCCGCACCAAAAATGATTGTTTAGCACCTAATTGAATGATATTACCGCCGAATGAAGAAGTCTTCTTTTGTTGACTGTACTCAAATCACGCTGATATAATTTGCCTGCGAAAATTCCTCGATATTTCATTCTAACCGATTCTAATTGTCAATCGCACATCCACCAGAGTTTGCAATATTCGCATTAGTCGAGTGTAGTGAGTTCGTCCTAACAAGTGAATCGAATTAACACTCTAACTAACGCTTTAAACGTCACCGCAATGAAACATCATTCTTCATCAGCATGTCCCATTCCATTGTCGAAATTTATGGAGTGATGTTTTTTGTGTGAAAAGTCATTCGACAACGTTTTGCTTACTCTCCAAATAATTGTTTCGCGTGATTAACATCCCTTCTTGATGGTTTCAAGGCTTCCATCACACGTCCCTCACCTATTTCAGCCTCATAATGCACTTCTTTCGAAACGGTTCTTAATTGCATTTGATATTGGCTACGCTTCGTTTCTCACTGCTTCATTTGACGGCTGACAAATGCTTTTCCGTTCAATATTCACGCACATTATTCTATCGTTACTCGTATTATTTCTCACCACTGAACTGATGAACATAAATTACGTCGCATAAATTCTCCTTCAGATCAAATTGAAGAATGTAATGACGAGTCTTAATTTGATTTCATTGCATTGCAAATTTCGCTCGAAGTAATTGTTCAGTAGTGTAGTGGAGAGAGGGCATCCCCCTATCCCCCTCTACCCTGGAAGGAAAGGGAAAAAGAAGAAGGAAAGAGAATGGAAAAAGAGGAGTGATGAGAGAAGTGGAATAAAGAATGAAGAAAAAGAAACGAAGGAAGGGAGAAGGAAGAAAATATCTGCCCCAGAATTCAGACATTTTTGTTGATCAGACCATTTTGCATCCCTTCCCCCCTCCCCCCTACTCCCCCCATCCCACTGCAAAAAATTCTGGCAACGTCGCTGTAGTTGTTCATATGCTGTGAATCAATATTCCTCTTTCATCAGTGAATTCGAATAACATCGCAAAAGTGTCATTTCTGCAGGTTCATTATTCAATGAATATCTAATTTCGTGAGTGTCGTCGTTTCAAACAAGCAGATTTTGTTGCACATTTGACTTTGAACAATGAGAATAGAAAATTTGATTCAGATTGAACGAAGGGGGACCAGCGTTTTACAAGCGAACCCAAAAGGTTCGTTGGTTAGTGAAGTGAGCAGTGTTGGTGACTTACAACCACCGAGTAGTTTCCAGAGTGTTTGGAGCAAACTCATTGCTGAGGACTTGACAGAAGAAAAGGTTAGTTAGCAGTGAATTGCTTCGAATTCCACCAATTCCAATCCATTCGTATTGTACTTGATGCACTTTAACGTTAGCAGTTTCACATGTTCATGTTTTGATGAATCAATGAGTCTGTTATCCAAAGACGAAGTTTTTCGGAACGGGACAATCAAGTGACTCATATCAAAGCGAAAAAACAAAAGTGTATTTTAATGGTGTACGGTACTTCATTGCAAGGCAGTCGTGTATTTTAAATGTTCTGTGAAAATGAGCACGAGTTGTTTGTGTATTTTTAAAGTAATTAATCTGATGCAAAAATGCCGCCGCATTCACTTCATTTGCTACTTAAATGTGCGAAATTTTTGCGAAAAGTCTTACCAAAAAAAGAAAATGATAAGCATTCTAAACCGAAAATGTGATTTTCTTTAACGAACAACTGCATCTAACGTGTTTTATTGGAGAGACGAATATTATAATCGTCAATTTCACTGCTTCTTTGAGGCAATTGTGTTCTTATTCCTGTTATTGTACACACATTCTGTTGTTTGAGCTGTTCTTACGAAATAATCACAACTGAAAGTAATCATCGAAACGTTTTTGCTTATCGGATGAATTTTTAGAGAAGTGGAAAACAAGGTTCTCTACATAAAAACAACTTTAAAGACTTCTTTCATGCCATTAAAATTTTATTTCCACTTCACCGTTTCTATGGCAATAAAACTAATGATCTTTTGAAAGTTAATTCTGTTAAAGTAATAGCTTTTATCATCGCACACGTTAATTTCTTTTCTGCCCAAAAGTTTGTTTTCGATTTCAAAATAACAACAAAACCTCTTTTTTATTACTGTATTACGATGAGTTAATGTCAGTATCAGATAGGTAGATATGTGCATAAAACATAATGAAAAATGCAGAAAGAAAAAATTTTCGAAATTTTCGAGTTTCTTGCCAATGACTATATAAAATTTAAGGAAGGGAACATGTAATATTTGATTATTCAGTGATTTGTCAGTAGCACTGAGCTTCATGATGTGTTCAAATCATCACTGAAGAGAGCGGTTTTGTTTCACATCATCACTGAAGAGAACGATTTGACAATTGATTCAGCAAAGAGCATTTGAAGGCTTGTGCAAGTGAGATAATTTCAAAGGCAGAATCCATATCACACCACGCTTCATCAAGCCGTATTCCACACTGCATCTGTCGCCGCTCCACAAAACTCGCACTTCGGAATGCAACACTTGCTGACGAGCGTCTCACCATCATCGCACTCACCAAAGGTCCGAAGAGATTATATATGTCTCGCAATTGACTCTAACAACATATGTAATGTGTATTTTTCAAAAATTCGCGCTAAACTCAGAAACAATATCCAAAGTTGATAGTGTTGTGAAGAGATAATTGCCAGTGTGTGCATTGCCAGCAAATGGTAATGGCGACCCGATTTTATACTGAGGATAAGCAAAATATTCGCGTAATGAGAGTGCTTGTTTATTGCAGCTACTTCAGTTTTGAGGATGAAACACTACAGAATTATGTGAAAGAAATTATATCTACAAGGACAATAGTTTTGGAATTTCAGTCTGCCTGAGCATGTAGTTTGTTTACTCATGTTGACCGAACAATGACATTTGATTGAATGAAAGTGAACAACATTGAAAGTCGGCAAATTTGGCTCTCTAATTCATTTCAAATGCTTCATAGTAATTTCCTATGTGAATAGTGCGCTCATACCCTCTTGAAGTGTCACTTCAAGTATCGAAAATTCATTAACTTTCTCATTTATCCTTCCAAACAAATGAAAGCTCTATTCCTCAGTAATAAATCTCCTCAAAATATGCGCAAAAAAAGTTGATGCAATTGACTGCTTCAGCAAGCACGTAACTTTTCTTTCACTGACAGCGAAGATGACCATGAAGAGAGATTTTGTGAAAATTTTTGTTTTATGCCATAATTTGTCTATCTCAGTGCAACCTAGAGGTTTCTTAATGAATTTCTTCATTTCGGATTTCTTTCATTGAAGACAATTATAAGAGTATGTCATTATTACGACGGACTCTCGCAGTAAATCGCACAGTTGATCACTGTAGCTGAATGAGCCTTTGATAGTGACCATCAACAATACTCACGATGAGTGGATTCGCGTTTTATAAGAAGAATGTTTTTTGACTTCATTTGCTTATCCGAAAATGAAAAACGCTCTAACATTACGGTAACGCACAAAAGATAATGGTGAATTCCAATTAACGCATAGATGATGAATTGATTTGATGTTGAACGACTGAGACAGATACGGTGATAATTCAGTGAAGTATTCGGAGAGCAATCCAACTCACTGGGAAATGCTCGTTTCAATCTATAAACATATCATAGACGATCGTCACAGTAGAGCTGAAATAAAACGCTACGGAGATCATTGGGAAACTATCGGTTTTCAAGGTTTGCTCTTTCATACGATCTTCAGAATGTTCTCGTGATCTTTTCAATCAGTCACTATCCCAACTATATCCCATTCTCAATTGCTCGAATTCCACGTACTCGTTTTTTCAGTCATATTTTTGGATTTTCATTACTTATGCAAACTAAAGTTTATTTTGTTCTATACCCGCGAAGAAAATTTTTTTCATGCGGCATGTGATATTTGTGAAATATTCATCTGTGCAATGAAAACTTATCAACATGATAAAACATTGATGTAATGTCGTCGTCTTAAGGCGACGATCCAGCGACGGATCTCCGCGGCGTTGGTATTTTCGGTTTGTGTCAGTTGCTCTTTCTCGTTTCAAATGGCCTTTCCTCACAAATGACCTCACAACTTCTTCATTTATCAAATGACAAAATACAGGTATACATATGTTGAACGGCTGCTTTTATGATCCTCAAGTTTGTTGTTTAACCACAAATCATACTTCGCTTTTTTTAAGAGTTTCCCTCTGGCGGTTGTTGGACTTACATGGACGCAAATCATTGTGGAACGTTTGAAAAGGGGAAAACTTAATGAGTTAGTTGGTCGTTTGTGATCATTCACGCACACTCCATTTCAATGTTTGACGCTCATTTACGCTATTTTTTCCGGACGCAACCAGAAAACGCTATCTGATAATCTTTTTTGTACTAAAGCATTCGAAATATCACGTTTAGTTGATAAACTTTGACAAAACGACTGGCGTTAAACAGCAGTAAAATGTATGTGTTCACTGGTTAAACGAAAAACTTTTATAGACTGGCCATAAAAGAGAATAGTTTTATAAGCGTTGTGAATGGCATTTATCGAGGTTGCTTCCTGGCGTTTGATTCTCTTTGGAGGGTAAGACGTTGCACGATTACGGATTTTTGCAAGATTTCCGAAGGTTGGCTCTTTTTTGCATAGGATCAGTTCAAATGCAAAGAAGTTTTTGTTAGAAGTTTTATTTTTACATTCTTTTAAAAGTTTTACTTTATAAGTAATAAGTTTTTACTTTTGGTAAGGATACTTTCATATAATTTGAGTTCTGATCTGATCTTAGCGCGTATCGATTCTGACGATAAACGATAAATGAATATATCTCAACGCTTAAGAGTTTGAAATTGAGCAGTGCAAAAATTCTGTCAAAGAATAAAAAGAACAAGGAATAAAAAAGATCTTCCAGAGATTCGTCGGATGGTGAGACGAAAACCGAAACATCTGCTCAATATGGCAATCCTCAACAAGGCATGAACTACGTGGCCATATGAAATGGCGAACTATAAAAGTACAATAAAGTGAACAGATATAAGTCGTGATTCTTCTGAGCGACAGCTTACCTTCATGCAATAACAAAGAAATTCTAATGAGAATGCACATTTCTAACAGTGATAAAATATCTTTCGGAACATTGTTCGTTACTATAATATATTCACTTGCGTTTTCGATTCACAAATTTTTCTTCACGAGCCCTTCAATCTCATAAGATGTTCCGTACCAACCAATTTTGACTAATGTACCGACTACGAAATAGTCAGAGACCTCATTTCTGACGTTCCGTAACGGATAGCCTCGTCGTTTATAGTTATTTGATATGAGCAATTTTATTAGTAATCAATATAATTCAGTGATACAAATCAGACAAGTAATTCAAATTACAAGTATAGAAATCGAAATGAGAACAATAATGAAACAATTGAAGTAACACTGTGAATCATCCGTTATAAGCACCAAAATTGTTTGCAATAAACAAAAATTGCAAAAGCATCACAAAATAGCCAATGACCGTATCGATTCGTTTAGAACCATCTAATTGTAAGTGTGCTTAAACTTAATCATCGAATGCAATTTAACAGTACTGTCCATTCATATAAACAAATTTTATCCTATTCAATACCTCAGCTCCAAACTGATTTCATCAACAACTGATAAAGTGTAACTTCAAAAGAATAACCAAGATTAGTACAATTCCTCATCAAAACAACACGGCTTTCCAAACAGAACATTCACTACAGATAAGTTCCCAGTATAATGCAATAGGAGTTCGTCAACCGAAGTAAGCTTTCATGGTGGCTTTTCTCCAGTACATGTTTCGTAGACAACATATTTCAATAACAAATAGAAATTTTTCACGAAATAAAACTCAGAAATTATTATTAAAGATGACCAGAGAANTGAATGCGTACGCGCACATAAAAATGCATACCAACAAGTATAAACGAAAACAACATTTCATTGAATATTCGAAATGACCATAAGATATATAAGACCATATATTTCCATGATAAGATATAAAATTGTGTTATTCCATCACACTAATCTTCTGTTTGTTTCATAATTTAGTTATTTCGAAGCGAAGATTCGTTCACTGTAGCAAATAAAGCAAAAAGTACATTAAGGTACTCCACAACAAGCTCGAAAAAAGCACTACATTCTCAAGAAAGGAATTAATTGCGCGGAACTGATCACAATCTAAATCGCGCAAATTCCAGCTTTTCCCATCATTCTAGCATAAGATCTTTCTAATATAAAACGTACGAATAAGAAAACTCCCAACTCAAGATTACGTCATATAACAACCATTAGATTCTGCCAACTGAATCAGATGTAATATTCATCTGAGGCAAAGAACAAACACAATCAGGTCATTTTTTGATGACAACTTCAACGAGAAATTGCAAAAAAAATTACAGTCTAGGTTCTGCTTCGCTGATTTTTCATTCTTATATTATGAAATTAGCCGTTCAACCATAGCAGTTGTGATGATTTTACTAGAACAATAAGTATATGACGAATAAAATACCACTACATGAACGATTAACTTTCACACAGAACACAAACGATAAAGATTTCTAACGCATACACTGAAAAAAAATGCATTAACACAATTTCTCATAATGCAGGCAACTTTCCGTTATATCAAATCAGAAGAATGGCATTGCTTAGAAACGATTGACAGAGCGTAAAAGAGCACAGAATTCAGGCAGTTTGAATGCAGTGACAATAAGACATTGAATAAGGACAACAGCAGTCTGCTTTCAATCGAAAAGATTCATTTGCGAAGTCAGAAATGAAATCGAATTACTTTTCAAACAAACGTTTGCATAGAAGAATAGAGTATCAATAGAAAATTCATTGAAAAAGCTTGAAAAGTTAATATTCAGTGGCAGCTAATAGTTTCGAATGTTTTCTAGAAAAACGGAATCTCGACAAGATCTTCGCCTACAGCGAAACTTAAACCTACGTTACAATTCGGATTTCAGCTCGTAAAGGAAGAAAAACGATATTGGATCACGTCAAATGTTAAAAATACAGCTAAATGAGTGACTAACTCTCTGATCTGCAGATTATGTGAAAACTGCAACGTTTTTACTATTTCCTGTGAATTTACATACTTCTTAATCCTCCATTAAGATGCCATATTACTGTTCTGTTCACTACTTAAAAACAGTAAAATTGTAGCGTCTAACTAAATAAACAAAATTTTTTTCTATACAGTTGGTGTGTGTTTGCACAGATTCGTTCTTATGACTGAACCATTTTTTCAAGAATCGGTATTACTTGATCGAAGTTTGGCCTTCGACCCGGATCTTCGTTTAAACAGATATTCATCAGACGTCGCATATTTCGTGATATTCCCGGTGGGAAGGGTACTCGTAAACCTTCGAGCGCAACCTGAAATTCATCATCATCTAATGAACGAGATTTCCTAACAGTGTCATCAGAATGCTGCCATCAAAATCAGGGCGATGGAAATAAATAACAATTCATTCATTCATATCATCTATAGCTGCTCATTTGAAAATGATTTTTTTCATTTATTTTTTCTCATAACTTGCAGGTTAGCCAGAGTTGTCATGTCCTACTGAAATCTAACCTTCATTCCAGTTTCCATAGGTGATAAATCCGAGAAGGGCACTTCTCGGGTGCTCAACTCCCATAATAAAATACCGAAACTCCACATATCGGCGGCTCGAATGTTCAGTTCAGTGGGCGAACGTTGTAAGGCTAAAAACATATGGCGAAATGCAACTGCGTGGGGATTTAGTCCAAAGTACAAATTCAAATGACAGGGATTTAGACGAAAGTACAAATTCAAATGACGGGGATTTAGTCGAAAGTATAAATTCAAATGACATCTAAAAACGGTTACATCAAAAACTAATCGTAAAGTTTCGCACCAACAAATTTCAAGCAACGCGCTCCAACTGAAATTATGGCTTGTTGAAACAAACCGAACAAAATTGATAATGTTGTGAGAGTCATCGTTGATGAACCACGAAGAATTGGATAAAATCATAGTAAACTTAACTGACATGCAGTTAGGAGACATAACTTAAAGGAGTGTATTTCATGCTTATGTTCATCGACAAAACTAATCTACTCATACATCACTTATTGCCGCATAGTGTTTTTTAGCGATGTGTTCACTAACCTTCTGGTGACATCCAAGCCGGTGAATACAGTCGACCAACTTCTTGAAAACTAAACTTGGTATCGGCCATTGAAATTTTTGCGGACAGATCCTCATCAATAACGACGTGTTTTGAGCTGAGATAATATCTAAGGATCAGTGGATCGAGCGTATGCAGAAATGACATCCCTCTTGCAATATCCAATGCGAATTTGGTCGCTTGTGCTTGGTCGATTACAACTTCTGCAATTGGTTCGTTGAACACATCAAAATAGATTACTGTTACTATCGTCAAAAATTTTTATTTTTGGTAAAATCATTGAAATTATTGTTTAAAATTCATTTTGAACGTTGCTTAAACATAATGGATGAGTTCCCCTACATGAATGACTTCTATGTGCGAGATTCCACCTGACATGAAAATATCTAGGAACACAAAAACAAATCGACGGTATTTTGCAAAAAAATCATAGTGGGAAATATGAGCAAAGTACTACTTGCACCTAACATACACGTAGCTGACGAAAAAATTACGCAACGAATGGGCTGAAAATATTACCAGTCTGTTCGTGGAGGAAGTTATACAAGGATCCATACGGCATCAATTGACTTATTACTATTAAATTCGGTGGCTGATTACAACATGCCACCACTGGACATACATTTGCGTGCGCGAAAATCCTGAATTTTACCAACGTCAGACAGTTGGTTTGGGTGATTAAAACTGTTTCGGATCAAGTGGAATATTGATTCGACTGAGCAATCATTATTCCATGGACTTCAAGGCAACACTTCGCACTAAACACATAAAAGCGGATCGAAATGAGTGACGGATTTCCGTGAAAAAGTCAGCAAAAAAGTATTTTAAAAGACAGATTCGACCCCTCAATTTCACTACAAAATCATTCGTATCGACCACAACTAGGCCAGTTAATTATGATGTCATCAATATAATATTATACACAAACAATTCTTTCAAAAGAAGAAAAATGGAGAGCATCGAACAACGCTATGCGATTACCGCCCCCGAAAGCAACTTCAAAAAGGAACCTCAACGCGGGGAATTCACTCTGGAAGTCGCGACTGATGCGCGGTGTAACTTCGTTGATGGCCAGCAATCGTGCAACGATATCATTCCCTTGCCACTTACCACGCCATAACTCGCCGCTATGTGATTCTGCGAGTTTCGCGTTCAAACTCAACGATGACACGTCCACACCGGTGTATCTGCAAACCAGCAATTCACCAATACTTCCGCTAGAAACAATTCCCTGTCCCAAAATCAGTACTCGCATGTAATCATATTAAACACCGTTGATCCAAAAACAACTATTTACTAAAAAGAATGATACTCAATTTGCTCAAAGCTGTTTCACAATACACCAATGTGATATTTTTTCAAAGTCATACCGAGATAAAGTCGCATCTCTCGTACGACTCTTTGTTCCTTTCCAAGTCTGATCTCTGAACGGAATTCGATCACTCTCGTTCTGTCCGTGTTCACGCGCAATCTCTACAATTTCAATCTTAAACGGCTACGAAAGAAATATCAATCGGAGAGATGCTTTTTCACAGAACCACTATCTGATACCTATGGAGATGCTTAAATGAACGCTTCACCATCTTCGAAGAACTGACGAGAAAGAATTGTATTAAGAAATTGATCAATATCCATACAAATATCAGTAAAAGAAGACGAGCGCGAGCAAACTCAGAACAATATTCGCTAAACTTTGCCTTAATTAAGAATGGATTTCATTCCATGATCATTTATGACATTCAGTCCAGAATCAACAGAACTTCACAGAAAAGATATAATGAGAGCGAAACTGAAAAAGATACCACCAAAAAATTACCCACCAATTATTGAGTTGCGAGCTTGAGGCTGACAGACATCTAACGGTGTCTGTCCTCTTCTGTTGCACGCGCCAACCAGTGCACCACATTGAATCAGATCCTTAACATTTTTTAGGCAAAATCAATTAGAGCCACATCATAATTAGAGCCCATAAGATCAATCGAATTCTCGTGTAAACTTGCGAATGATTTAGGTTACATCATCATTCTCTTACCGATTATTTACTTGCTTCATTCTCGAAGCAGTTAAAGAAAAAAAATTAACAGTTATAAAATTTTAAAAAAATTCGAATCGAATAAACAAAAACCTACTTCACCGATCTGAACATAACCCCAAAAGCAGGCGTAATGCAACGGCGTCATTCCGTGTTCATTTGTTGCATTCACATCAGCCTTCCGCGCCAACAATTTCTACAATGAGAACGATATGTTAATTCGATAAATTCAATTTCAAAAGAACATACCACAACAATTTCACGATGTCCGTGTGCAGCAGCGAGATGTAGACTTGTATCATCACCCATATTCGTTGAGTTCACTCGAGCACCACGAGCCAATAACAACTCCACTATTGGCAAATGACCTTCTTTCGAAGCCCAGTGCAGTAATGAAAATGCATGGTCGTCACTGCAATTTCATTACTTCATTTCGGCCATAGACTCACGAAAACAACTGAATTTTTGTTGCCCTATTTGTTTCAACAAACCGCAGACCCTGTTGAGCTATGTAGCTGTCACTGTTTTCTGTTTCAAAAGAAGCAGCATTCTGAATTTTACTGTTTTCTGTGATCCGTAATCCAACAGAGCTCTTGTGAAATTCCATAAATTTTCATCAAAGAAGTAATTGGGTGAATTTTGAAACTCTCAGATGGAGCTATTTACAGCAAAATGATCAACCAACGCGCACATAAAATCTGGAAAACATTCAAACAAAGAATGATACAATAAGAAAAACAAAAGCGAACCCAATATTAAGATCGTGCTCAGTATCGTCCAACCAAACCCTCACTTGAAACGTATTTCCCTCGCGCACCCAACCGAACACATCTTCCATAATAATCGGAACATTCGGTTTGTGCGAATGATAATTATTTGCTAACGACATTTTTGAATACTTTTTCGATTCAGTTCGTTAGAATTTTTTATATTTGAGCAAACAAAACAGAATATCTTGCGATAAGTCCATACAGTGAAACACAGCACGGCGATTAATTACACATAGTGTGTTTCACGCGATTAGTTCAATATGACCAGCATATGCAATAAATATATCAGTATTCCTTTTTGAATGTAAGAATCCTAGTGCTGTGATTTCCTATTCCTTATCTTGACGCATCACTGGATACCACACTGTCGCTAACGAATGCGACACCACAATGAAGAACTGAAAATGGAACGTTCGTGAAAACAGAAGGATCACAACAATGAAACGGGTAAAGCAATCGTATGCGGTAACGACGTCAACTCTGAGACGCTATTGTATAAAATAGGATGAAAGAAGATTGTTGGGTGCGTAGTAGTGATGGGATCCGAGCAAAATTTCGATCGGTCGGAATCCGATCGAGGTGGAATTTCGTCATTCCGACAGTCGGAATTCCGATCGAAATTTTCGCATTTTTCCGACCGACTGCCGGTCGGATCCCATCACTAGTGCATAGCGTTACAAATTAGGGAGAGAATGCTGTAATATTAACGATTCATTGATATCTTATTAAGATGATGGAAGTGACAACCGTTTAACGCAGTCAGTGAAGGTATAGTGAAAAAGCCACTGTAATGGTACTTCACTATGCATTTAATTCGAATATTTCATTTTCTTCAATATCGATCAGTCGTTAATCGGTTTTTATCATCCCTCCTTTTTAATCAGTTTATATCTGATGTGGTTACGTTTGATAATGCCACAAATAAATTATTGATGCAAACATCACTCAAAATTATATTCCGGAATTTGAAAATTCTTAACTTTCCCTTTTTTTTCAACTTTCTCATTTCAATTTTCTCATTGAAAATGAGAAAAAAATTCTCATTTTCAATGACATTGATTGCTGCAGTAACATATGGCAATGGATCAGATCATATTATGTTGATATGATAACACATAGCAATGAACTATTCCCATACAATCAATTATATGCGCATAATTCATTCCCATATGATTGATTGTATGCACTTCTGAGCCAAACTTATCACAATGCCGATACTTAATCAAAAACGCTAATAAAACTCGGAATTCGATGTAAGAGTGAAGAATTTTAGTAGAGAATCACGCACCCAAACGATTTGTCTAGAAGCGCTTTTTGTCATCAAAACATTAGCAGAAGTTAGCGTAGACACACGAGTATTAAAAAAGTTATATATCCGTATGATCACATGCATATATTTAGACATAACTCCACTTCATATGTTAGAGTACAATTTCGAAAGTATAGCATTTCTGCTCTGAATAAATATTACGTCACAATTTTTTAGCGGCCCATGAAAACCATTTGAATTTTCAATATTATGCATAGTTATAAACTGTGGTTATTAGATGAGTCAGTGATGTTAACAGAAGGAGAAGTGAGTAATTCATTCCCTCTCAAACATATAACTACATATATAGACTTCAGAGAGAGGGAATCAGCCAAAGACCGTTGATTTAAACAAAAAAATTGCTGTCAAAATACGGGAAATCATTATAATTCATTAAACAAAAACAATGTTTCTGATAGAGAGATGGAAATTATGGAAAGTGATCCCGTGCGTGCTATGCAAGTAAATCACATATTTGAATCAACAGAAAAAGGATCAGACGATGCAAAGCGAATGAGAGAATTACACAGATGAATTTAACGGAATGATTTCAACTGCATCTCATCCCAGTGAAAAAAAACGATGACGAATCCATCCAGTCGAGCAAACATTATGTTTACGACTAAGACGTCAATTTGACGATGATTTATACACACAAAACATCGATTGATAATAGAATTGCTACGTTCAAAATTGATCATATATTACTTCTGAAATACGTCACAATCCATGCCCACAGATCTACAACGTCCCTACTGTACGACTCATTTCTGAAATATTTCTCAATTTCGAACGAAATCCTATTAAATATTTCGAACAGATGTTTTCTATTCGATAATTCCGCTAAAATAATCCGTACAATTGCGTTCGTCTCCATAATTCAGATAATCACACACTCATCATTTTCACTTGTTTGCCCAAAAAAAGTAATGACTTGTGCAAATGGAATCCGAGTGAAAAAAAAACTGTTCTTTTTCAGTACATCCGTACAAAATAGGAAGAAGAAAAATAAATGAAGAAAAAGCGATAAATGAGAAAAGCAAGAAAATAAATGAAGAAAGCATCGAAATGAAAAACTACAGCAAATCTCTGATAAGCTTATTTATTCCTCCCATAAACAAACAAACCTAAACTCCAATGACCATTAAGCCACTAAAGCATCTTTTAATGTGCCATATTCAAAGGACAACACATCATTCTCAAATGAACGATGCATTCACGAGGAAATAAACATCGCAAGATAATCACACACTCATAAATAACCACCAAGTAAATGCAATGAATACTAAAAGCATTCATTGACGCGATATGCGACAATACATGACGTGTAATATTCATTTCATTAATAATGTAAATATCTTCACTTCATTAATAATGTAAAAGCAGTTACTGAAGTGAATGAACCATAACAAAACTAGGATCGGCCATCAAACAGAGGTGTGCAAGGAGAGTGCGCGCAAAATGTCCAACGAACGTAATGTGCCCTTATTACATTCTGCTCAAAAGATGGAAAATATTACGGATTCCCGATGAAGAGTACCTCAACATTTGGGATTTTCTTCAAACAAGTTTACGCTATGCTCTTCAAGCTTAAGATTAATGCGCCAATCATATCAGTGAATATGCAAACTTGGGCAATGAATAATAGCGGTTCAATTTCGAATTCATTTCTTATTTAAAACTATTCTTCAATATCCTTTATTTTCCCCACTGCACTTCCCAATATTTCTTCTATTTGAAACCTATGGACGCCGTAATTTTTTCACAAAAAACGAATGAATATGTCAAAATATGTAAACACAAACATCGATCAATCACATTAAATGTTCCCCTTGACGAACAAAAACCTTTTTTAAAGATTTAAGACGTCAAATCCATGGTAGGATCAAGTGAGATAAGTAAAAATTCAGAAAAATAGCTCGAAAAATGCAAACAATAACCTACATAATCTTAGGATAAGCAACAGCCGCATAATTTCATAGAAAATACAACTTCTGATCGAAAAGAAAGCAACGAGAGTAATGACACATCCCTTAAAAACTTCAAACTGTCGCATTCACCTGCTACGCGCAATCAACTGTGCTTAAATACAAGCAATGAAACGCATCAAAATACAATAAGCCTTTCAAAACGTGCAAAAATTATTGATAAAATTTGCCTCCTTCAATGAAACAATCGACTTCTTATAAACCTTATATGTGACATTGAAGGAAACATTGAATGAAGCTAAACCTCTTAAATTTACAAACACATTACAATAGTTTACATACTGAAAAATCACCGAAGATTGTTCGCAGCACTGTTATCAGAATTTCGCGAAGAATGAACGCGTTAAAGGGGTGGAAACATATACTAATTGAAAACAACTGGCGCAGTTTAAAGAAAAGAACAGAGATGAGGTCGAAGGAGTGTTGTCGAAGGGTTGAGCGTATTCAATCGAGGAGCACCACTCGAATGCACACATCTGTTTGGCTGCGAGGTACTTTGAGACAAGAAAGTGTATATAATAATGTTGTATTAGAGATTAATGATACTCTAGCTTCTGCTCTTTAATCACAAACAATACAGTTATATTACGATGACGCAGCGAGCACCACAATAATCATCATCTTATGAAAGTAAAACCCTCTCAAATATTCACTTTCCACAATAGTTTAAATGCTAATGCTTTAAGTGCTCAAATATTCACTTTCTACAAGTGTCTAAATGCTTTATATTGCACATATACATAAACACAAATAACTTCAAAGTAGAACGACAAACAGTGATTGATTGTAAACATCGAATGAATTATAAAGTTAGTCAATATGGAGTAAGCTTACCAGATAACAAACAGCAATTCTATGCAACCGAAATGTTGAAATTAATTATGCAGATGAGAGTTGCTTGTGCATGAGAAGTTGAGAATCGATCGAAATTTCGTACTTTTGTTGTGCCGAATTGTAGTTGAATAAAAGAAATCAGAAGTTGCTTCGCCAATAGAAATGTTCAACAATAACGTGAATAATTGTCTGAAAGATTGCTACACAACTGCTACTTAAACACTAACTTCCTGTTCTCAATTAAGCGATATCTCGTCTTCGAATAGCATGTGCAACGTCTTGGCTCGAATGCCGTCACTCACTGTTACTTGGTGAAACGTTTTTATTCAGTACACAATTTTTTCGAAACGGGAATTTTTGCAGTTTACGATGTCTGCTAATATAAAAATGAAAATAAAAATGATTCCCACCAATGTCATATCATCACTTCCAAATGGATGTCGACATTAGAGAAAAAATACTCGGATATACTTCGGCTTTATAACTTTCTTGGGATGAAAAACAATTTATTCAATTTCCACATTCTGTTGATGACGGTAAGTTAAACTAACTGGTATAGAACAAAAATTTATGACGGCAATTAACGGACGCTATTACTCATATGGTATAAACGTCAATTATGCGAATACATCACTATACTTCGGCACCAAATAAAGAGGATCGAATGATGAAAAGTTTTTTGTGGGACATTAGCAGTCCCAGTTTTTGTAGCACACTAACAAACAAAAAGCGATATGTGAGATATATGGATATGAAGGTTAGCTTTGAATGTGAACAACATCAAATAAACTTCATCGAACGTGTTTCTTACACACGCATTTATACGGCAAAAATGCAGTTGCTGATGTAATTAGGTTAAAAATTCATCTGGATTTATGAATAACGAATGAGTGAAATTCGATAGGAATGCGCTTTGGGTTTGTGAAATTGCATTAGGAATACGAAATTGCATGGAATGAATGAAATTCGAATCAAGTCACACAACTGT